CAATTTTTTTCAAGCCCATTCTAAGGAAATGTATTGAATTTACAGGTTTTTTTCTTTTGGCATTGTTTTAAAAGATTTTCACTTGGCAGGTAGACATTTTTTACACTTTTCACAAAACTTTAAAATAGCTTAGAAAACAACTAACATCAAAATGTAAATATTCAATATGGCGGCGACTGGGTGATCCCACCTTTTCGCCAATCTGATGGAGTGGTCGAAACAGATGCCATCTTTTGCTTTTATAATGTCATAACTTATGTTGTTTGATACATCGTTGGATTTCTTGATTTAATCAGGTAAAATTTTAATATGGCGGCCATAGGAAATACAAAAGATGGTGGTGGTATCTCAAGATTCATTATGCGAAAAAAATTAGTTGGATGAAAATGTAGATAAATTTTTGTATGTTTACATGTAAAACTTATTTTTTTTAAATTCCTTGGAATGACGGAGTTACAACGATTTTTGCTTTTGAATTGTTTTCAGTTTTTTTTTATTATTTAAGAACCGCTGTTTTTTATCCAATTCCATTTTAGTAGACAGACTTCTAATCACGCAACTTTTGTTTAACCGACCTTGTAGCGATAAAGATAGTATATAGAGGGATACCTACTTGGGCACCCTGTATTGTCAGACATATTTAAATATTTTTTTTAAATACACCCAATTGTGTGACTTTTGGGAAAATTAACCATTAATTTCGAATATCCCAATTTGTTCAATAAATCACGGCACTAGATCGAGGTCGTCCATAAATCGTGAATGGGCTTTAACAGCTGAGCGGTCGCGGGGGCCTAAGCCGTCCCTGGCAGAGGCGGCTGGCTTCGAATTTTCAATATTTCAGCCCCATCAGGCGACTTCGAGCGACTCCGGGCCGCCAGATGATTCCCGGAGCTTTTCCCTGGGGAACGATGGCGAATAACCTGCACAACCGACGTCGATCCTGATTCCGCACCGAACGCTTTCTCTATTTTAAACGTGCAATATTTATTTCATATCTTTCATCGGAATCCACTTTACTTTACTTCAGTGCCAAAAATATACCAAATATTCTTATGCAGTTGTTTAAGTAAAATAAGCTTTTAGTAAATAACGATAAAATTAAAAAATTCGCAAAAATCCGAACTACATTTTTGTAGTAATAAAAATGTATATTTAAAACTGTACGAGTTTAATGTAAAGACTGTAAGTAACATTTACAGACTTGAACGATTAGTTTATAGATTAGAATCGAATTTGTATTGTTATTAGGTCATACAATTAGGAAAATTACTTAGCTGGACTAATTAGACTTGAATTCTGTTCCCTGGCGGACAGTATGTGTTCCTTGGCAATCGCCGATTGTGGTGACTTTACAGGTAGTCAGGTGGTATTGGTGTGACCTAACCTTAATCACTCACTCTCTCACAAACTTTTACGACGTTATAGCACTTTGTGACTTAACCGGGGGCCACCCGCACTTTTCAAACTTATTCTTATTTATTTTTTCTTGTTTATTTAATGTTTATTTTTTGTTTTTCGTTTTACTGATTTTGATTCACTTGCCTCTGATAACTTGCCAGATTCTTAGATTCGTTTTTGGTACTTACACTTTACACTGCTTAGGAGGGTTCTCGTTAACGACCAACCTATCACTTCAAGTGTTAGGACGAGACTGCTAACTTTCAACCTTAATTAAGACATAAAAAATAGTTTAAACTATTTATATTTAATTGAAAAATGTTCTATTAATTTTTGTTTTTTAATTTCTTATTTTTGAATCTAACTCTATATTAGCTGTCTCAATTTATTATTTTTTTAAAAAGAAATGTTAGAGACAACTGACAAATGGCAGAGAGCCTTAATAGTATAATGACCCATTTATATTGATTTCCCTCAAGTGAAATAAGATATTGAATTAGTCCGTGCGAGTATCCGGGAAATGTCACATTTGTAAATACGAACGTCGAAGCCCGTTGTTCTATAATCATTTTTTTACCACCATAGACATAAAAACCGTAATCCTGCAAAATTATGTTTTATCTAGTTTAAGTTCAATTTAATTTAAAAAGAACCCCCATAAAAACATTTACTGGTATCTCTGGAGACTATTGAATATAGGGGCATCAGGTGCAACACAATTTTCCGACACTTGCTATCTAACGGAACGCCCTCGTGAAAGGATCTTCTCCATCCCCACATTTTAAGATGAAATTCTGTGGCGGGCATATGGCCCTTTCCCGCTACCGCCTTGAAAGCGGATTCACTGCCAAACAATAAGAATGAGAAGATGATCAATTGGTCCTTCTGGACTTGCTTGATATGATACACTATTTTGATATCGGATAAATTGGTTAAAAGTTTAGACTTCAGAAAATATGTCTTTATCTAACTCTGTGCTATCCAGCACTGCTATACATACATGTACCTACAGGGTGTTCCAAAAGTCGCGCACCACCTTAAAGGTGTATGATCCAAAGACCCCGAGGAATCCCAATCGTTAAAAAGATATAATATTTTCTTTAAATTGTCTGATAATAAAGTGGTAGTTTAATAATTTAAGGATTATTTTTAATTATTATGGCCAGAAACAACAATAAAGTGTCAAAATGAATTGTTTCTTTATATTTAGGTTATTTATTTTACGTCGGACTGAGCATAAGCAAATCCCTGTAGGAACTAATAAAACCATATATTTAATCTATAAAGAAAAACTCTGTGGGTAAGGGGTTAAGTAAAAAAAGAAATTTTTTAGTAGAGCCTTAAAACGTCAGCATATTAGACCAGTGCAGAAGCCTTTAAAAATGGTAAAAAGAGAAAAAAAATAACAGTAGGATGAAACCCATTGGAAAAGGAGGGGAATATAATAAAAATTAAAGGAAAAATAAATTACGGGCGATCGGAGTTCGGGAAGTGGGAGGGGGGGTTTTAAGGGTAAAAAATGGTTTATCTCGATTTCCGGCAAAACTACAAGTCCTATGGAAAAAGTTAAATGTCAAAGTTGTAGGTAATAAAAAGATCTACAACTTTTGTATTTACAATTTTTTTACATAACCTCAAAATTTATGTGAAAAATTCAAAAAACCAAGTTTTTGGTTTTTTATTTTTATCTTTTTAAAAAACAAAATTTTTTCCACGAAATTTGGTGAAAACTTACCTTTTATGTCCCAAATACACTGTAATTTATTTGATTTGAAATATTTATTATTTCGCCTTATTTTGACTTAATATCAAAAAAGCACCCTAATTTTCAATCGAAAATTCTCGGGTCAAAATATCAGCTTTTTTCAAAAAGTCGGTGTGCTTTTTGTTTGATGAACTCTCTACTTTCTGATGGTGTAAAAAAAAATATACATTACTATGGCAAATGTTCTCAGAAAATACAAAAAATATTATAATGAATAACGTAATCAGAATGAAGTATCTAAATTCAATAGTATGATTTACATGTATTTTTATATTTTATGAGATTTTCTGACATAAATGTTATTACAGTTTAATAAATAAACTTTTTAACTAAAAAAAATTGCAACAATCACATTTTTTTGATGAAATTGTACATAATGATTAAAATAAATTTTCGAATTCGAGTTTTTTTCGTTATTCATTATAATATTTTTTGCATTTTCTGAGAACATTTACCATAGTAATGTATATTTTTTTACACCATCAGAAAGTAGAGATTTCAACGAACAAAAAGCACACCGACTTTTTGAAAAAAGCTGATATTTTGACGCGAGAATTTTCGATTGAAAATTAGGGTGCTTTTTTGATATTAAGTCAAAATAAGGCGAAATAATAAATATTTCAAATCAAATAAATTACAGTGTATTTGGGACATAAAAAGGTAAGTACTATTAAGGCTCTCTGCCATTTGTCAGTTGTCCCTAACATTTTCTATTAAAAATAATAATAAATTGAGACATCTAATATAGAACTAAATTCATAAATAAGAACTTAAAATAACAACAAAATTTTTCAATTAAATATTAAAATATTTTTAATGTTAAGACATTAAGGTTAAAAGTTAGCATCACACTCTATAAACTCATGTCCCCATCACATTGCAATAGTAAAAACTTGAATATATTTCATATGTTTTGTATAAAGCAGAATTCTGAAACTAAAATGAAATAACAAATAAGTACATAGCTCCACAGTACACATAAAGAATGTATTATAATAAAATTTCCTTATTTTTAATGCCTACTACGTCACAAACCTCCTAAATAAAAACAGCTGGAGTTTGTCATTACAAATAAAATAACTCTGTAAACCATGTAGTTTATAACTGTGGCAAAAGAAGGCGGCGCTGCAGGCAATGGTATTGCTATTGTTATTTTGCGCGTTACAAACAAACAGCGACTGTTTTTGAAGGTTATCTTTCGTCACTGCATTTACTCGGTAAGAATTTGCAGTAGGTATTTAATTTTCGTTTTCATGTTAAATAAACCAATTCCTTTTTTAAATTAATGCCATGTTTTATGTGCATTTATTGTGTTACTTGGAAAATTGATTTTTTTATTGTGAAAAAAGTCTCCTTCGTCACATGTCTCTTTTGTCTCACCTTTAGTTTGCCTAAATAATAGTCACAATGGATATGAAAATGTGAAATGTTTATTTTTTAGGGCTAAAAGGTATAATGACCCATATATAATAAGACTTATGACCCATATATAATAAGACTTAAGACCCTTTATTATATATTATATAATAAGACTTAAAACAATATAAAGCAAACCTATTTTTTATGTTTTAAAACTGTTTACGCTTTCATATTTTTTTTAAATATTAAAGGTAGAATTTTTTTTAATAACATTTACAATTCTTGAGGGTGTGTAGATCTGTGCGCGACTTTTGGGGCACCTTGTAGCAGCAGGTTAAAAAATCTTGTTTGCAACATAACTAGTAATTAATCCAAGAAAGTACAAGTACTATATTTATATTACTTTTAATTATTATTCATAATTTTCACTGTAAAATCGCGAAAAAAAATTGTATAAATATATTTTAAATTTCAGATGTCAGGCTGGAACTGGTAGATGTATTGTGGACAAGGCCCATAGAAATCAGTGTCAGGCATGTAGATTAAAGAAATGTCTTGCAATGGGAATGAACAAAGATGGTAAGTTAATGTAACATTTTCTATAGGATCATATTAAGTAAAAATCAAAAGTTAACTAGTAGTCTTTGATAATTATTTTATTAAATATTTCGGAAGTATACTCGTACTATAGTATCAAAGTTATACAAATGGACGAATTTCGTGAATAAAGACGATAACGCAAATGTTGGCCATTAATAAAGGCATTTATATAAAAATACTATTTTCTGTACGAAGTACTAATAGATCAAACATAAAAAAAATCGGATCCTCTTTTTGAAAACTATGATCATAACTTAGGCTTAGGGTTTTAAAGTGTCGGTTTTAAAGTGCCGGAAAAATTGGGAAAAAACATGTTTTTTTTCGTTTTTTTTCCTAGGCCTTGGAAAAATTGGCTTTTTTGGGAATTCATTTTTTTCTTGAAAATATACACATTTGAAAAAAAGTACCGATCAACATTAATTGAAATAAAAAAAATCCTTTATTACAAAAAAAATAAAACTAAACATTTAATTAAATTTAAGAAAATAAACGAAAATGTGAAATATACTGTCTGTTGGGTTTTTTGTTGCAAAAAGGAGTCCATACAAAATAATGAATGAAGTGTTAAATAAAAGTTATGTTAATGTAGCACCGAATAGGTTTTATTTGCGGCATAATATTCTTACTGAATTAAAATAAAAGGAATAATTATTATAATCATAATATTATATGATTATAATTAGCGTCAGAAATTCACTATTTTCTTGATATCAGTGTACGGATACTATATGTAAAAATTTGTAAATTTAAAAAAAAATTGTCTTTTTCATTTTTTCGTATTACCCTTTGAATAAAATGTAAAAAATGAAAAAGTCAATTTTTCTGAAAATTTCCCTATTTTTCCGTTTTTTTTTCGAAAAAAAACCGTTTTTTTTCCGCCGGCTCAATTTTTCCGAAAATTTTAAAACCCTACTTGGGCTTGGAGTTTCATTCATGAAGGTTTCATTTTACTTACTTACTACATTTTTGTTGTAAGTATGGAATTTTTTATATAAATATTTTTTATGGCTATCGCATTGGCTTTTTAAATTTAAAAAGGCAATGCGAATTACAAATACCTATATCAATTTACCTACTACTAGTAGGTAAATTGATATAGGCTACTATATATAGATCTATAGATCAAATATATGCATATTATAAATCCAAACAATTGATTTATGTGTGAGGAGTATAATCTTTACTTTATTTAAGTGAATATTCTTAATTTTAAAATACCATTTAAGAAAATACAATTCTAAATTTAATAATATTTTTATTTTTAAGTTAATAACAATTTATTAGAGAAAGAAAATTAAATTCTTAAATGTATACATTATAGTCTATGACTAAGAAAATCATTATTATTAACATAAGGGTATCGGTTTTTCAGTGCATAAAATTTATTTTAAAAATGTGACATTTTAAGATGTCGCCCAGTGCAACAGACTGTCCGCCCGAAACCTCCATCGTAGCAACGCTTTCCCAACTTTCATCCTTTACTCCGTCCGTCCCCGACTTATCCCCACCCCGTGCCGCCGCCCTCGGTTGCCGTCCTGGCCGCCCCTCTCTTCCTCGACGGCACTCTTATCCATCTCCTTTCCCGCCTCCAACGTTGCGATGGTTTTGTCACCGCAATCTCGATAATTTAATAACGCTTTCGGATATTTAACGTTGGCTTTTATTTGGGGAGCAGACAGGCACGTCGACTTAACCAAATTGCCTCCATTTGAACTTTAAGAACTTTAAGTGTTGCCATGGCAGTGGAAGTAAAAAGTCTAGAAATCGATGTCGTTTCCAAGACGATTTTAAGATGATTTTTTTTTATCGAAAGGGATGATTCTGGCAAAATGTTTTCAATTTTTAGAGGAAGATGTTTATTAAAAATAATTAATAAACAATAAGGTTTAAAACTGTCATATTTTTGTGTTCTTGGGTTGGCATCACAAAATTTAAAATTACAATATTAAAAAGTGCAAAAAAATAGTTTTTGGAGATTTCCATAAAAAATACACTGTAATAATCAATTTCTAAGCGAACGAATTTTTTAAAAAATCTAAGGAAAATATCACTTGTGCAGAAATGTTATTTCCCATTGATTTTACATAAATTATTTCAAAAATTCGTTTTCAAACTCGAGAAACAAAATATGATCTTGTTGATAGCTAAAAATTAATTATTATTGATTTTAAATACACTGCGGCGTATAAAAACAAATAAAAAAATTATTTTCCTGGAACCTGCGCTAATGCCTCACAAAGTCATATATTTTAAAGACATTTCATGGAAACTCTTTAAATGGAGATACTACCTTAAATGCAAATCGGCTGCTCTATTCAAAACACAGTAACCCACATTTTTTCAGAAAATATTTTTTATATTTTTGCATATACCTACTGTGTTAAGACGCACCTTCCAACCAGGCCTATTTGTTGATAAAAAAACTTAGCAGTAATATCAAAAGAATTCGTTAAATACCCTACATGTAGAGGCCAAATCAAAAAACTAAAACACGTTTTTCTCGCAATTTTGTTTTTTACACATTCTGTGTTTTGAAATGGAGCAGCCGAAATGTCTATTATTTCACTTATGTCACTTATATTTTTTTTCTTGAAATTTACAAATTAAATTTCAAATTTATAAGAGTTTAAAAAATACGCAAATAATAGGATATCCACCGGAAAACCTTTTAACTATAAAATTTAATGCGTTGATAAATTCTAAGGATGTTTTGTATATTGTTTTCTATTTACTTATACCAAAATGTTCAAAACTGAACCAGATATGTTTTACAGGACTCAAACGTAAATGTTACAAACCGTTAGTACCAAAAGGGTGTTTTTGAGAACCGAGAAAAAAAAAACTGGAACGATTTGTTGTGTTGTTTGGTATTTTTCAAAAGGAAATCCTGGGTTGATTTTACCGGTTTCCCAATAAACAGTGGAAATCCGAATAAAGAAATAAATTGCATACGGTCCCTTTTAATATAAATTGTACCTTAGATACAACAAATACACATTTTAAATTGTAAACATTTCAATTCACTAAAGATCATAAAACAAATATGTCGTCTAAATTCAAACAGCGTTATGCATTATTAAAAGCATTGAAAGAAAAAATAATATTTTATTATGTATTATACAGTGTGACCTATTTGTTTGCGACTCACCCCTGTAAAATCTTTATTTATTGTGCGATTTTAACCGGATTTGTTTTAAAGTGTAGATCTTGATAAACTGTATTTTAAAGCAAAGACGCCATATTTGTACAAAATACAAGGCCTACTATGTCAGTTTTTAAGAGTAAATTTTTAAGAATTCTTATTAGCGATATTTTTAAACAAAATCTAAGCACGGCACTTGATTCACCACCCCTCAAAACGACCCTAAACTAAATTTTATTGAAAAATTTTAAGAAAAAAAATGCACAATAATACCTACAAAAATTTATTTTGTCAAGTTATCCATGAAAAAAACATTGAAATAAAATTGAACTTATAGTAATATATTATTATAGTACTATAGTACAAAAATTTATTTTGTCAAGTTATACATGAAAAAAACATTGAAATAAAATTGAACTTATAGTAATATATTACTATAGTACTATAGTACTATAGTAACTATAGTACTATAGTACCATGTTACTATTGGTTTTTTTCTTAAAATTGTTCAATAAAATTTAGTATAGGGTCGGTTTGAGTGGTGGTGAATCCAGTGCCGTGTTTAGATTTTGTTTTAAAAAATCGCTAAAATGAATTCTTAAAAATTTACTCTTAAAAACTGACATATTAGGCCTTAAATTTTGTAAAAATATGGCGTTTTTTTGCTTCAAAAATACTGTTTATCAAGATCTACACTTTAAAACAAATCCGGTCAAAATCGCACAATAAATAAAGATTTGGGGGTGAGTCGCAAACAAATGGGTCACACTGTATATAATATTAAGTTGCCATGAATTCGTAGATATATTTTGTCCTTTACTATTTTAAAATGCAGTTTTCGACGTTTTTTTAGAGGACCCAAATATAAAAAAGTTTAATTTTAAGGTTATGTTTTTACAACTATTATTTTTTGTTAGTTTTCATAAAAATGGCTAATCGATGATGTAAGGAATAATACATCAAAATCGAGTACTAAACCAAAGTTTTGGCGTTTTTACTTGCAACAGGAAACACAAATAACGTGCGCGATTTAGCTGTGCAATTGAAACTTTGCGAACAAAATTTGTGACTTCTTATTTATTTGGAAATGATGTGCAGTTCGTGTGCTTTAAATGTAATGTTGAGAAATCTTGAATTCTCACAATGCTATCGAGCGCCACCAGATAAGTCTATATAGAAAGACTTGATATTAATACTAGTTCAAAAGTCAAATTATTATTACCCTCCATACGTACAAAAATGAAACTAAAATGTCATCACATGCATGTCAGTTGAACCCCTAGACCAAACGGTCTAGGGTTGAACCTAGCCTAAAAATGATGCGACAGAATATTAAAGAAATATTAAAATTAAATGCTTGAAAAAAAAATGGTATACAAAACCCGAAAGCTTATTAATTTCCATACACATAATTTACTGCCTCATGAGGCAGCTTGAGCGTCGGCACTAAAATTTTTGCTGGACTATAATTTAAACTTTCTCTGCCTAGTCTATAAGGTGCCATCAAACCGTAAAAATTGTCTATAAAGAGCAGTGGCGGCCGGTAAAAATATGACAAAAGATTATGTCATCATTATCATTATCTACCTACATCGTCAATTTTCTAAATTGAGGAAGACTCCCCCAAACTATCGAATAGTTTGCTACTAAGTTTTAATGGTGTTTTGTTCGCCTCATTATAAATGTATCCACTTAGCTGCAGGTTAAATTCAAGTGAGTAGAGTGGTTCGTCCCGGAGCCGCCGGATTTGTTGATTCGAGTTAGATCCAGTGCTCCAGCGTGTAGCGCGTCTCGCAAATTCCCCATGGTGATCAGTATGCAGAAGGCGTAAGTGTTG